AATAACTCATTGGAATATTTTTCGCCATACCTAACCCAAACCAAAAAAAAAAAAAAAACAATATATATATATAATCGATCGTCGTTGTGTAAATTGATATACATGAAGTAATAATATCTAATAACTCATTGGAATATTTTTCGCCAAGCCGAACCCAAACCAAAAAAAAAACAATATATATATAATCGATCGTCGTTGTGTAAATTGATATACATGAAGTAATAATATCTAATAACTCATTGTAATATTTTACGCCAAATCTAACCTAAACAAAAAAAAAACAATATATATATATAATCGATCGTCGTTGTGTAAATTGATATACTTGAAGTAATAATATCTATTAACTCATTGGAATATTTTTCGCCAAACCTAACCCAAACCAAAAAAAAAACAATATATATATATAATCGATCGTCGTTGTGTAAATTGATATACATGAAGTAATAATATCTAATAACTCATTGGAATATTTTTCGCCAAACCTAACCCAAACCAAAAAAAAAAACAATATATATATAATCGATCGTCGTTGTGTAAATTGATATACATGAAGTAATAATATCTAATAACTCATTGGATTATTTTTCGGCAAACCTAACCCAAACCAAAAAAAAAAAAAAAACAATATATATATAATCGATCGTCGTTGTGTAAATTGATATACATGAAGTAATAATATCTAATAACTCATTGGAATATTTTTCGCCAAACCTAACCCAAACCAAAAAAAAAACAATATATATAATCGATCGTCGTTGTGTAAATTGATATACATGAAGTATTAATATCTAATAATTCATTGGATTATTTTTCGGCAAACCTAACCCAAACCAAAAAAAAAACAATATATATATAATCGATCGTCGTTGTGTAAATTGATAAACAAAAAGTAATAATATCTAATAACTCATTGGAATATTTTTCACCAAACCTAACCCAAACCAAAAAAAAAAACAATATATATATAATCGATCGTCGTTGTGTTAATTGATATACATGAAGTTATAATATCTAATAACTCATTGGAATATTTTTCGCCAAACCTAACCCAAACCAAAAAAAAAACAATATATATATAATCGATCGTCGTTGTGTAAATTGATGTACTTGAAGTAATAATATCTAATAACTCATTGGAATATTTTTCGCCAAACCTAACCCAAACCAAAAAAAAAACAAAATATATAATCGATCGTCCGTTGTGTAAATTGATATACATGAAGTAATAATATCTAATAACTCATTGGAATATTTTTCGCCAAACCTAACCCAAACCAAAAAAAAAAACAATATATATATATAATCGATCGTCGTTGTGTAAATTGATATTCATGAAGTAATAATATCTAATAACTCATTGGAATATTTTTCGCCAAACCTAACCTAAACCAAAAAAAAAAAAAAACAATATATATATAATCGATCGTCGTTGTGTAAATTGATAGACATGAAGTAATAATATCTAATAACTCATTGGAATATTTTTCGCTAAACCTAACCCAAACCAAAAAAAAAACAATATATATATAATCGATCGTCGTTGTCTAAATTGATATACATGAAGTAATAATATCTAATAACTCATTGGAATATTTTTCGCCAAAACTAACTCAAACCAAAAAAAAACATTATATATATAATCGATCGTCGTTGTGTAAATTGATATACATGAAGTAATAATATCTAATAACTCATTCGAATATTTTTCGCCAAACCTAACCCAAACCAAAAAAAAAAAACAATATATATATATAATCGATCGTCGTTGTGTACATTGATATACATGAAGTAATAATATCTAATAACTCATTGGATTATTTTTCGGCAAACCTAACCCAAACCAAAAAAAACAATATATATATAATCGATCGTCGTTGTGTAAATTGATATACATGAAGTAATAATATCTAATAACTCATTGGAATATTTTTCGCCAAACCTAACCCAAATCAAAAAAAAAACAATATATATATAATCGATCGTCGTTGTGTAAATTGATATACATGAAGTAATAATATCTAATAACTCATTGGAATATTTTTCGCCAAACCTAACCCGAACCAAAAAAAAACAATATATATATAATCGATCGTCGTTGTGTAAATTGATATACATGAAGTAATAATATCTAATAACTCATTGGAATATTTTTCGCCATACCTAACCCAAACCAAAAAAAAAAAAAAATATATATATAATCGATCGTCGTTGTGTAAATTGATATACATGAAGTAATAATATCTAATAACTCATTGGAATATTTTTCGCCAAGCCGAACCCAAACCAAAAAAAAAAACAATATATATATAATCGATCGTCGTTGTGTAAATTGATATACATGAAGTAATAATATCTAATAACTCATTGGATTATTTTTCGGCAAACCTAACCTAAACAAAAAAAAACAATATATATATAATCGATCGTCGTTGTGTAAATTGATATACATGAAGTAATAATATCTAATAACTCATTGTAATATTTTACGCCAAATCTAACCTAAACAAAAAAAATACAATATATATATATAATCGATCGTCGTTGTGTAAATTGATATACTTGAAGTAATAATATCTATTAACTCATTGGAATATTTTTCGCCAAACCTAACCCAAACCAAAAAAAAAAAACAATATATATATATAATCGATCGTCGTTGTGTAAATTGATATACATGAAGTAATAATATCTAATAACTCATTGGAATATTTTTCGCCAAACCTAACCCAAACCAAAAAAAAAACAATATATATATAATCGATCGTCGTTGTGTAAATTGATATACATGAAGTAATAATATCTAATAACTCATTGGATTATTTTTCGCCAAACCTAACCCAAACCAAAAAAAAAAAAAAACAATATATATATAATCGATCGTCGTTGTGTAAATTGATATACATGAAGTAATAATATCTAATAACTCATTGGAATATTTTTCGCCAAACCTAACCCAAACCAAAAAAAAAACAATATATATAATCGATCGTCGTTGTGTAAATTGATATACATGAAGTATTAATATATAATAACTCATTGGATTATTTTTCGCCAAACCTAACCCAAACCAAAAAAAAAACAATATATATATAATCGATCGTCGTTGTGTAAATTGATAAACAAAAAGTAATAATATCTAATAACTCATTGGAATATTTTTCACCAAACCTAACCCAAACCAAAAAAAAAACAATATATATATAATCGATCGTCGTTGTGTTAATTGATATACATGAAGTTATAATATCTAATAACTCATTGGAATATTTTTCGCCAAACCTAACCCAAACCAAAAAAAAAACAATATATATATAATCGATCGTCGTTGTGTAAATTGATGTACTTGAAGTAATAATATCTATTAACTCATTGGAATATTTTTCGCCAAACCTAACCCAAACCAAAAAAAAACAATATATATATAATCGATCGTCGTTGTGTAAATTGATATACATGAAGTAATAATATCTAATAACTCATTGGAATATTTTTCGCCAAACCTAACCCAAACCAAAAAAAAAACAATATATATATAATCGATCGTCGTTGTGTAAATTGATATACATGAAGTAATAATATCTAATAACTCATTAGAATATTTTTAGCCAAACCTAACCTAAACCAAAAAAATAAAAAAAACAATATATATATAATCGATCGTCGTTGTGTAAATTGATATACATGAAGTAATAATATCTAAAAACTCATTGAAATATTTTTCGCTAAACCTAACCCAAACCAAAAAAAAAACAATATATATATAATCGATCGTCGTTGTGTAAATTGATATACATGAAGTACTAATATCTAATAACTCATTGGAATATTTTTCGCCAAAACTAACTCAAACCAAAAAAAAACATTATATATATAATCGATCGTCGTTGTGTAAATTGATATACATGAAGTAATAATATCTAATAACTCATTGGAATATTTTTCGCCAAACCTAACCCAAACCAAAAAAAAAAAACAATATATATATAATCGATCGTCGTTGTGTACATTGATATACATGAAGTAATAATATCTAATAACTCATTGGAATATTTTTCGCCAAACCTAACCCAAACCAAAAAAAAAAAACAATATATATATAATCGATCGTCGTTGTGTAAATTGATATACATGAAGTAATAATATCTAATAACTCATTGGAATATTTTTCGCCAAACCTAACCCAAACCAAAAAAAAAATATATATATTTAATCGATCGTCGTTGTGTAAATTGATATACATGAAGTAATAATATCTAATAACTCATTGGAATATTTTTCGCCAAACCTAACCCAAACCAAAAAAAAAAACAATATATATATATAATCGATCGTCGTTGTGTAAATTGATATACATGAAGTAATAATATCTAATAACTCATTGGAATATTTTTCGCCAAACCTAACACAAACCAAAAAAAAATATATATATATAATCGATCGTCGTTGTGTAAATTGATATACATGAAGTAATAATATCTAATAACTCATTAGAATATTTTTAGCCAAACCTAACCCAAACCAAAAAAAAAAAACAATATATATATAATCGATCGTCGTTGTGTAAATTGATATACATGAAAGAATAATATCTAATAACTCATTGGAATATTTTTCGCCAAACCTAACCCAAACCAAAAAAAAAAAAAACAATATATATATAATCGATCGTCGTTGTGTAAATTGATATACATGAAGTAATAATATCTAATAACTCATTGGATTATTTTTCGGCAAACCTAACCCAAACCAAAAAAAAACAATATATATATAATCGATCGTCGTTGTGTAAATTGATATACATGAAGTAATAATATCTAATAACTCATTGGAATATTTTTCGCCAAACCTAACCCAAACCAAAAAAAAAAAAACAATATATATATATAATCGATCGTCGTTGTGTAAATTGATATACATGAAGTAATAATATCTAATAACTCATTGGAATATTTTTTGTCAATTTTTGACAATTTGTCAATAAAAGGAGAGAAGCGGGTATGCTGGAGAGCTACTATGAAATGTGCAGCGGCCCTGTTGGCTTGCAGTATGTTCCTATGAATAAAAAGGCTAATAATGCGTCGTCATCATCGTCATCCAAAGCGAAAAATCACTCAACGCCAACTAAGAATGAACTATCGCCCGCAAGCATGCAGTCTGTCTCTTTTCAATGCGAGCAAGCGAATGGAACAGCGAAAGACACTAGCGGGCACATGGAGGCCCGCACCGCGGTATCGAACAACGCGATAGGTGTGAGTGAAACCAGTAATGGGTGCAGTACTAGGCGCTGCGGCGAGAGCGGGACAGCGACAGGCGGTGGTGAGGCCCAGCCACAAGGTACCGCGGTTTCGACTGGACCGGTTAGTGAACTTGAACTTGATTGTGCGCGCGCGTCGATCGACAAGTCGGCGATATTACCCAGTGTTAATTCCAAAACAGCTGTTACTAATATGTTGCCTTCTTTGTTATTAAATAAAAATGTCAGTCAGGATGCTAGGAACTGCTCACAGGTAACTAAAGAGAATTCTGAATGGTAAGTTGTTCAGTCAAAAACTGCCAGGCGATATAAACTTATCGGTCAAAAAGGCCGGGCTTCTATAGCGCCAGACGGCAAGTTTAAAGCTGCCGATATAAAAATACCGTTGTTTATTTCTAACGTCTCTAAGGATACGTGTGAGCAGGACATTATTAGCTACATAAAAGATAAGACCGGCGAGGATGTATTATTGAAAATGATAAAAATGAAAACAAATCGAATATATAACGCTTATAAGTTATTTGTTTCAAAGACAAATTTGAACTTGTTTTTAAATGATGACTTTTGGCCTGATGGCATTACGTTTCGGCGCTTCGTGCATTTTAAGTATGGGCCGAAAAAAGGAGATTGTAATGTTAAAGTTTAATTATAGTGTAAAATTATGGATAGTGATTATAAAATGACATATAATAAATTTAAATTCATTAGTTTTAATTGTAAAAATTTTAAAACTTCCATAGAAGATGTGAGAAAATTATGTAGGTCGGCGACTTTAGTCTGTCTCCAGGAGACTTGGTTACTCAATCACGACTGTACTGTATCTGTTGATTTTGAGTATATAGGTAAAAGTTCAGTAGACAACGGCGAATTATTGGTTGGTAGACCATATGGTGGCGTAGCCATACTATGGCGAAAGGGCATTTTTGATAGTGTTTCTGCTATAAATTGCAATAGTGACAGACTGTTAGCTATCAAGGCTACTATAGGTGGTCGCTCCATACTAGTCTTTTGTGTATACATGCCAGTGAAAGCGCGAGAAAACTTACCTATTTTCACAGATATTCTTAGCAAAATTAGCTCAATTGAGGAGGGTAGTGGTGTTCAATCCGTGATTATTCTAGGAGACTTTAACGCACAACCTGGCCAACTATTCTTTACCAAGCTCAATAGCTTTTGCACGGACAGATCTTGGGTGTGCGCAGATATAGAATTTTTAGGGATTCATTCAGACACGTTCACCTAGTTTGATGCGTTTCATCGTAGGGGCAGTTGGTTGGACCATTGTATTGTCTCGCAAGCGGCTTGGCAATCTACAGTTAACATCGGAATAATTAAGGATATTTTTGTTTCTGATCATCTACCTATATTTATTGAGTGCAACCGACTAATTGCACCTATAAAGATATATTTATAGGTGCAATTAGTCCTACCGCCGCGATCCAAAATACGTCGCGCAGTGCTGTGATATGGGGGGAAAGAGATGAGGCTCAAATTAATATGTATCGAGATTTATGCAGTAATGGCTTGCGAGACATTCACGTCCCCACTGAATTTGAAACATGTAGCTCTGGGCCTTGTATTTTAACTGATCATAAGCTAGTATTAGATAAAATGTATAAGTTATTTGTTGATGTAGTAAGTGATGCGGCTGCACAATCTAGAAACAATATGAGACTTAAACAGCGTAATAAACGTGTGTGCGGCTGGAATGTACATGTGAGGGAAGCGCACCGGGAGGCCAGGCTGAAATACCAAAACTGGATGGTTCTGGGTAGGCCAAGTACTGGTCCTGCTTACGAGCAGATGTGCGAGACCCGTAACATATTTTTAGGCCGGCTAAAATGGTGTCAGAAACACCAGGACCAAATTAAAATGGATAAAATTGCTAAACAAAGGGCCGAAAAAGATTTTACAAAATTTTGGAAGCTCACTGGTAAGCTTGATGTTAAGCCTGGTCTCCCTGCGAACGTTGATGGCCGAAATAATCCCGAGGATATAGCCAATTTGTTCATGGAGCAATTTAAAGTACGCTCTCCTCTGGGTTCTTCGACCACTACTCCAGATGGTGGGCCCACCGTGGCAGGTGAGGAACCTTTACTTAAATTCACAGAGGAACAAATTAAAAAAGTGATAAACAGTATGCGTAGAGGTAAATCTCCGGGCTACGATGGGCTTAGTATTGAGCACTTAAAATATGCTGGCGTACACATGTCGAGGGTCCTGTCCATGTTCTTCAATATGTGCATTAGTCATTCATACTTACCGGATGATTTGATGAAAACGATAGTGGTGCCCATAGTGAAGAACAAGACAGGAGACATTTCGGACAAGGGAAATTATCGCCCGATCTCTCTTGCGAGAATTGTAGCAAAAGTGCTGGATAGTGTGCTTGAGTCTTGTCTGGATAAGTACATAAACATACATGACGCAAAGTTCGGGTTTAGACCTGGACTGTCAATTGAAAGCGCGATTCTGGCTCTTAAGCACACTGTCCAATACTACACTGAACGGAAGACTCCGGTATACGCCTGTTTTCTGGATCTCTCCAAGGCCTTCGATCTCGTTTCGTATGAAGTGCTTTGGAGAAAGATGGAGGATACGGGTATGCCCGCGGAACTGCTGAAAATATTTCAATACTGGTACTCGAATCAGGCTAATTGTGTTAGGTGGTCAAACTGCCTCTCGGAAACATACAGGTTGGAGTGCGGAGTTAGACAGGGGGGGTTGTCCTCTCCAAAGCTGTTTAACTTGTATGTTAATGACCTCATAGTCATGGTTGCCGGGTGGGGGGTGTTTGTGTGAACAACATCAGCTACGCGGACGATATGGTGCTGCTGGGCCCGACTGCGAGATCAATCCGAGAGATGCTGAAGGTTTGTGAAAAATACGCCGCAACACATGGCCTTATTTATAATGTAAGGAAAACCGAGCTCATGGTCTTCAGGGCCGCCGGCAAGTACCCAGACACCATTCCTTCAATTACTCTAAACGGTGCTAATATAAAGCAGGTAACTAAGTTTAAATATCTGGGTCATATACTTGTCGACGACCTTAGAGACGATGACGACGTTGAAAGGGAGCGTAGGGCGTTGGCTGTCCGCAGGAACATGCTGGCACGCAGATTTTATCGTTGTACTGAAGACGTCAAAATAACCTTGTTTAAAGCGTACTGTCAAGGCCTGTACACAGGAAGTCTGTGGTTCAGCTGTTCACGGGGGGCGCTAAACGCACTGCGTGTCCAATACAACAATGTTTTCAGGATGATGTTGAAACTCCCTCGATTCTGTAGTGCCTCGGGGATGTTTGCCCAATCACATACGGATAGTTTCCACGTTTTAATCAGGAAAAAGGTGGCCTCGCTTATTACAAGGGTTCGAGGGAGTAGCAACAGCATCCTGAAAATCGTGGCTGAGGACCCGAGAGCTCCTGTGCCGAGGCATCTCATGCGGAATCATTGCCCGAATGAAATGCCTCGTAAGTACATGACTCATTAAATATGTATTTGTTACTAACCCTAGTGTATAAAGTGTAGTTCCTAAAGTGTTACTAACAAAAATGGTTCCGTTGTTGTTCCGAATCAAAACATTATTATTATTATTATATATTATATTATTAACAAACACGATTCAGGGGAATTGTCACAAAACATTTGCTCCTGGCTATTTTTAATAAAAAAACCTCTAGCCTGAAGATGTTTTGGTATAACAACCCTATTTCATTAAAGTGATAAAATTATAAACATTTTGATACTTGGTTGGTTCTGGAAAATACGATCCGATACGAACAATGAACTACTTCAATTTACCTGTTTATATTTAGATTTCAGGAAATGTAGACTCGAAAAAGTTTAAATTTCGATTGATACTATCTCTAAGATCTCCTACTAGATATAGTTAGATATATGTAAATATAGTCTGCAATATGTTTCCTTAAAGTAAATATTGTATTTTTTCCATAACGACCTTTATTGAACTTTTTACGACGACTATAAGAACGGAAAATATACACACGCCCAGCGGCCCATGTGTAACACTTCTATTTCTTCCTCCACTTGAGTACTCATTTTCTGATGCGATTAAGCCTTACTCGCACCAATGAACTTTTTGCTCGAGAAATCCGACTGGATTATTAGGATCAAAATTTGTACAAATTTATATTAAATTTTAAACAATTCATAAGTTTTCAAACAATTCTAACGTTTTCAAACTTAATTTATTATGGACTTCAAACGAACTTTACGAAAACCTTAAGAACTCAATCTACAAACCTGACAAAATTGAAATAAACTTTATTCAATTAGACTTATTACAAGTACTTTTAAATCATCAATTTAATGAAAGCGTCAGTGTAGTCAGTCCGTGAGGAAGCTACCACCGGCTCGGAAAGCAGGTTCTGCTGAGAAGAACCGGCGAGAAGCTGAACAGTTGCTCTTTTAAATATACTCGTAGAGGTTGCTTGACCTACCTAATAACGTTAGTATCGGAGCTTATTATAATATACATATACTTATTATAATATATATATATATACGGAGACATAAACGTTTCATCCTTGCCGCGAGATGTACATACTCGTATGTATGTCTCCGACTGCATAATACTATATTCCTTTGTGAACTTGTTTTCATCTTTTAAGTTAGCTTTTATGCAGTCGGATTTTTTATTTTTATAATATATTTATTTATTTACAGCTTTTTAAGTAGGAAAATTAACGAGAATGGCTATTAACCTACTTTAAATCATTATATATCCAAAACTGTTATTTAAAATGAAAAATGAAGAAAGAAACCCAAAAATTATTTTTAAATACCTTTTTAACGATACCCCACTTGACATAGTTCGTCGATTTTCATTTTTTTTCTTTTTCACATTATGGCGTCCAAAATCGGCCATTTTGATTTTTCCATATTTTTATGCTTTCTATAACATTTGCGCCATCATGACGAATCAAACGACGTGTCATTTATCAAAACCGGCCCACGAGATTGGTCTAAATAGTGCCACAAAGGTACAAACCCACATACATACATACACACATACACAGTGCTGGATTTACACTAGGGGCACTCGGGACTAGTGCCCAGGGCGGCAAAGTTTTAGGGGTGGCAATATTCGGAGGGCGGAAAAAAAATCTTCGCGTTATCGAAAATGCTTTTTGGATTTTCCAAAAAATGAGAAATAAAAAAAGATTAAGTAGTAGGTCCATTTTTCTAAAAATTGATATCATTCATTAACTTTTTTTTTTAAATTAAACTTTCAACATTTTGTTCAAAATTTCGATAATAGGGCGGCATTTTTATAGTGCCCAGGGACGGCGCTAAAGTTAAATTCGACACTGTACATACATATATACATACATAGGCTGATAAACACATTACCCTCTTTTGTGTCGCGCAGTTGGGTAAAAATGAAAAACTAGTCAAACATAATTCTTCTTAACTTAGTAAAAACTATAGTTAAATATATTATTGAGTTATTCATATAAGTAAGTACTGACTTTATTATCATCATAAAATGTCGCTTACTTCCAAAGTAATGATACAAATAACACATCAAAAAGAGTAAGTTGCTTATTTTTGAACATCAACATTTAAAAAAAATTTAACTTTAACCATATCGGATGTACTTACGGCTTAAGTAAAACATCGTTATTAATCAAAAAGTTTATTGATAAAAAACCGTTATTGGCTAGTTGATAATATAACACGTATAAAAATGTTATAAAACAATTATGCTATACTAACTGCATATACTACTATGTTTACCACATAGGTAGTATATTATGCAGTATAACAAATTTTTCGGCGGTTCAGCCGGGCGTGAAACATATAGACACACTGGGAGGTGCAAGGTGTGTCATGAGTGTTGCTTCTGGTACCTAATTCTCTGATAGCAGAGTGAACCGTGGTAACGAGCCCAAGATTGTTGTGGTCCACTTCGGCAGGTAGCCGTAAGAGGCATCGTGGTTGAGTGCGTAGCGATCCTGCCCCATTAACACGGGGTAGGTTGTGTCGAGTTTTAATAGGTAATACTGGCTTTTCTAGCCGGCGAGTCCCACATAACCAGCTGTATGTATGCAAGTGATACACGTAAATTATAAATTCATTTCCCAAGTGGGTGAATATTCTAGAGGCTAAAAATTTGTGTCTCTCGATAATACTCCCCAATGACTTAATATTTTTCAAAAACTACTTTTGTTTTGTATACTTAAATAAATACTTAAAAAGCAATCTTAGTCACATTTACGTAGAAGTAACAAAAAAAAAGATATTAAGAAAAAACTATCAAAAATTCCATTATTTTGCATGTCGCTTTACGTGGTTCTCGGGAATTTTCTCACAAAAAAATTATTATTCAATTCATATTAAATTATTTTACTAGCTCGTGTTTGACATTGATATAATTCAACTTTATAATAATAAAATGTTTAAAAAATATGACTGGAAATTACTCAAAAATGTTATCAAAAAAAGTTTATAAAATTTACGTCATTAGTCGCTCCATATATTGTTTAATAAAGTGCCGTGAAACGGAAGGATTCGTACGCTGTGTTTTGCGTGATTTAAACCAACTACCCTGTCCCTCATTTGACTGGCAGCCATTACACGGGATACGCGTGTTGGATTTCGAACTGGTGAGTCTTGAATTTGATTCTCCTAATTGTGTCATTTCAATCGTCATTTGTTTTTTTAATCTTAACTTTTAAGTCGGGAATGATTCTATAAACATAATGAGATAACTAAGTTACCTTTTGAGTAACTCTTCAATGATCATAATAATGTTTTCTGTGTATACGTTTTTTAATATGATTTGACATGATTTTTGTGAAAACATCATTATTTGCAACGTCATTGTCTGTAAAAATGGAGAAGAAGACAATGACGCATGTTGTGAACAATGACGATCTAATTAGACGATAATGATTACTGATGAGAACAATGATTTTGATCGTTTAGATTGATGTGCAGATAGGATTAGCTGGATGAAAGTGTCATTTTAGGTTTTAGTTCCAGATACACTCTGACAAAATTACATAATTTTACAGGTACGTATGTTAACTATTAGGTTATGTTTATTTTTTCCTTTTAAAACCTGAACATAATTCTTCATATTTGTTTACTAGCTTTCGTCGTATAATAATCATGGAGAGGAAGAGATCAACTTCATCCTCTATTTTATTTCCTACACTCTTTTGTCCAAATTATGTCCGATACTTAGAATATAAAGTTCTTGCTCCTTTTTGTTTCAACGATAACGTTTTTATTTATATGTATTGGGTGTCTTATCACTCTGTTTTATATTGTTGCAGGTACTTATCAGAGATTATATTAGTTAAAGAAATCAAACTACACACAACTGTGCTAGTACTTTTGTTTGTAGTAAATATTCCAAAATGCGTCAGAAAAGGAAAACTAAAGTAGAAAGACTCAGTTGCCGTTACTGGTAATCAAGGTGAAAGCATTTCTACGCATGATCTTGAAGGAGATCCTTCGCTTAAGAAAGATGCTGCAGCTATAAGAAAAGTTCGCTACGTAGAATTAAAAAAAAAGAAAAAAATTGGTCTCAACGAACAAGAGAAGACACAAATGGAGGCAGAAAATGACATATCAGTTCTAGAAAATTACTGTTCCGAAATTAGCCTATAATCAGAAAACTGTCCCAGTGTAAGGTCTTTTATAAGCGAACGTGTAAAAAAATCTATTTAGATGATGCCAAATAGCATCTCATGTGCTGTAAAATAGGAATTTATTCGAAAAAATCAAGTCCGTACGCAAGAAAGGTTCTTGTATCTACCACTGAAGGACTTCGGACTTCTGCAGGAAGTTCAGAATGGAAACAAATACTAGAATTAGCCATTCTTTTTTTTAAATGCTGCGACCTTTCTGGGTAGTTTTTCGAAAAAAAGTTGACACAGGTACTTGTTTGTGCTCATTCATGTCATTATGGAGTTATTAATTGAAGGTCTATAATAACAGAAAAATGCTGTGATAACAAAAACCCTGATTGTTTGCAAAGAATCTGAGACCTGTAAATCAAATGACATAGAATATAAAGATCTTCAAGGAATTATGTACTGCAGTTATTACGAGTGGAAAAAAGTTTCAAAAGAAATACTTATTTACGAATGGAAACAAGAAGAAACAAACAATTATAGAAAAGAGAAAAATAAAAGTTACAACGATAAAAGCATTAAATAAATTCAAGAGAGATTTGGCAAATTTTTTTGGAACGCAACTATAAAATTATGAACCAATACAAAGCTATTAAGAATCTTAATGAAAATCTAAATATTCAGGAAGCATTAGTACATGTCGACTTTTCTGAAAATTATGCCTTGAAATATGGAGCAGAAGTTAAGTCGATCCACTTTGGTGGAAATAGGCAGCAGGTTTCCTTGCATACTGCAGTTATCTACACACATCATTTTTCTACTGGACAAGTTTGACCAACTTCCACGTGCACAATAAGTGATTGTTTACGCCATAATGCTCCAGCTGTGTGGGGTCATTTAATACCTTTAATAGAGGAAGTGATTAAATTAAACCCGTTTATTGATACCAAACATTTTTTATCGGATTCACCATCCTCCTAGTATAGGAATAAGTAGGTATATATTTTGTCTGATAACTATTATTTATTATTATTTTGTTAGGTGTGGTGCCGAGGTCGGCCCTTGCTACGTCGACCAGTTCTGGTCCATTGTAGTTCCCTTTATAATGAGTTCAAAGTTCTCCGCTTAGTCCTGTTGACTCCAGGAACTTCCAGATTTTCTGAGCAGGGAGCATGTGTATTTCTTCCGGTTGCATAATATGCTACCCTAGATAGATACTTCTGCAGTGCATGAGTGGACCGCACGAGCAGAGGATGGGCATAGCAGTTTCCTCTGTCTCATGGCATAGTCTGCACATTGCGGCCTGACTGAGGCTGAGGGTAAACATATGTTTATTAAGTTTGCAGTGACCAGTAAGTATTCTGGTTACTGCACTGGTTTTATACTTGTTGAGTTGAAGCAACTCTTGTAAACGTTTTGCGATATCCCTTAATTAGCACTTTAGAGTGTGTGTGTCCAGAAGTGGATTGCCACTCTTGAAGTGCTTGGCGATTGCAGTGAATTTTGAGAATTGAATAGGCATGTTGTTTTGCAATACCACAAAATGGTTCTGGGCCACATTCTGGTGTTTCAGCGCCCCTTCTTGCCAATGCATCAGCCTTTTCATTCCCATCTATGCCTGAGTGACCCGGGACCCATCTGAGGGTAACTCTGTTGGATGTGCCCAGGACATTCAGATTATTGTCTGTCTGATAACTAAGTTAAAGAATAATATCCCGCAGCTGAACAGTAACAATTCTCTCTGATATCACGATAAATGACATCAATATATCTAAAAAAATCCAGGACGCATCTCTAAGCATCTTGATGTAACCATTCTTGCAAAAACAAAATCCGACAAGATCAATAATCCCATCAAAATAGTGCCTTTCTGTTCGGTTGATGATTTTTTGGCTCGTTTTATTATATTTTAGTTTATGTTTTCAAGACTGCTTGTTTTCTTAGAATATCACAAAATTCGCACTAAATGATTTCTATTTCTATTTACTCTAAATTATATGTATTTATAGTTGTTTTGAGCAATACTTGTGTCTTCATTTTGATTGTGAATTTTTATTGTGCCTTATAGAAATCATAACAGTCTTACGGAAATTTAGAACGTCTGTCACAATATTTGAATTTTCGCTTTGTACATTATTGTAAGAATTTTATAAGTTCCCTTAATTCGAGTTTTAGAGTTGTAATTTAGACTAATAACCAAACATGTGATTTAAAGTAAGTAGGTAGATTCTTACAAGTTCCTAATAATATAAGTCTTTAATGTCCAAAGATATGTATTTCTACTAAATATGTATTTTTTTTTCTAAGAATATTTTAGTATCATATAATATACGTAAGACTAATCGCTGAATTCATAGAAGTTACAATAGGTCTTAAAAAAGATTTTCATATCGAAGGTGGTAATTTCAAACATCAATTGGGGTTTTTTACCCATCAACTCTGAATTTGTTTCAAAATGTCCCTAATAACAATTTCTATGAATTCGAAGAATTTTTGATATTTTGTTGTTTAATATTCTAAAATAACAAAGGTTCGTATGTTTATTATGTTAAGTTTTATATGTTACGTATAATAATTTTTCATAAAAAATAAAAAATATTACAAATTATCATGCCATTTATTGATTTTATACCTCAAATTTGTATTATTCATAATGAAATTGTCATTATTAGTAACATAGCATCATTTTCCTCCGCTCTAATTTCATTATTCTCACAAATTGTCATTCTCGGTAACAGCAAAATTTATTAAATGTCATTTTTTTCGAAAACTAGTCCTTAGTTTCGGATGCCTCCTTGATAAAACTGCTTAGTATCAACAAAACAATTAACTACGCTTAAAATATTAGATCTGCACGAAGGTTTAAAAAATTGGTATTTTTTTTGCAAAAAATAACATTTTGATGAGAACTACCCAAGTACAACAAACAACAATAATAATCAATGAGTAGGCATGAACGTGCACAGGACGACGCGGCCGTCTCTCTCGAGCACGATGCAGCGGCCCCGCGGCGCGCGGAAGTCGAGCAGGCGCACGTCGCCGGCCTGCGCCGCGCTCACGGCCACGCCAGCCGCCGGCGCCGCGCGCAGCGCCTCGTTGGCGCGCTGCACGAACACGTCGAGCGGCGCTGTGGGGTGCTTGAGCACGTGGTACACGGCCGACGCCCTGCTGCCGAAGCGCACGCGCGCGCGCTGCACCGCCGCCACTAGCTGCTCGTCGGTCAGCGAGCTCTCCACGGTCGCCGCACCGACCATGTCGTTACGTTCGACTATATTCGATATATTCTCAAACTTTTGTTTCAGTACATTGATGTCCTCGAACACTTTAGCAGCTGCTTGTTGTCCTGGAAAGAAAAAATATTTTATATTATAATATAATAAAACAAATATGTATTAAGGTAATGGCGTTATTATGACTGATATTTTTTTTATATTTCGAAACAGCTGCAAACTGATATATAATACACTATACATAATATAATAAAAATTAATACTACGTAGTACCTTTATATTTGAACGCATAAACTTCTTGAAATACCAACTTCACATTCCTTGTACAAAAATGTTTATAGTTAAAAGTTAAAAAATATTGTAAGATACTTTGGTGGCATTATTCAACTTTTTGAATTAATTTTGTTATTTGTGGGTAGGCTGTCTGTAACAACTATACCTTCGAGACATCTAACACCTCAGTCTCTCCCGTGACCATGATTGCTGTAAAGCATTCGAAACGTCGGGAACCAAAAATCAAAATAAATTCGCAAATAGCTAGATAGTTTTATTTAAAATATACTGGTAAGTTTTTTATTCAAGTTAGTGTGTTAGGATACTGATAAGCTCAAAGAAAACTAAAATATTACTCACACACACATCACATACACAGCATTATCAACTACATGCAATATTTAACGCATAACTACATAATTTTCATACAAGATTTCCTCCCACCTTAATCTCGCGAACAGTTCATCAAACATTTTAAACGCTTCCTGAGTGTTAATGAATTGTTATAACAGAAAAAGTAATCATTTTTAAAGTAATTAAAAATAAATATTTATATATGGTACACTTACTAGTCCAAAGAGATAGTTTAGTGTTAGCAGGCACAGTCACCTCCTTTCGTTTTATTCGGCATTTTAACGATATGGCTTCATCTTCAACACAAGTCATGACAAATTCACAATATGCCACCAACTCATTAACATTCTGAGGTCCCATTTCTGCAGCAAACTTCATCATCCCCGACAAATAATTTTCTGCTTTATATAAATCCACTTCACCCACAAATGTGTACAATCTGTCTTTTTCGAAGCTTTTTAAATCAGCTTGAAGCAGCTGCCGTAGTGATTTGTGATTTCCAACATATTTCAAAGTTTGTTGAACACTTTCAAGGCGATGGCATTCCAAACGTAACCTGAGGTCCCTTACACATAATTGTACCAATTCTGGAGATAGTTTAGAACTAGTATCTTTCGGGGATAGCTTACTTATCATTTCAAACAATTTTTTACAATTGTTTTCAGATATAGCATGAAGTTTATATATACTGATCTCAAGTTGACCATTCAAGACAATGACAGCACATCCACTGTTAGTAACAAGTCTAGTTACAGCACAACTGAACATGCCTTTGCTTTGCAGACTTATAAGAGTGTCGACCGACGAATACCATTGACGACTACTTACTACATCTAGTCTACTTAAATGTTCTCCCAAAAACCGGATCAAAGGCGGTGACAATTTTGGTAAATTAGCAATTTTAATCGGTGGACCTGTCCCCAATATCAAATTTCCTTCTTTAAGTATAGCATTTGTCGCACAAGGCATATTTGATGTACTTATTTGTTGCCACATATTTATTACTCTTTCAATAGTTTCAGTTGGGCTCAAGTTATAATGAGCAGATACTCTTCGAAGACCAGCAATAAGATTTAAATCATCTTTAACAAAGTTTCTTATACTATAAAATGCTTCTATTTGTTCCGGGCTTAGATTTGCCACAGTGTCATAATAACGTATTCCATCAAGTAAGAATTGGGTATAGGTTCTAACAGGAATATTCGACCTCATAGCAGCATGATATCTTTGTAATAATTGTTTGTCATTCTGAACACGATTTCTCAGCGCAGCCAGCTCAGCTGCCTCCTCCTGACTTAACTGTTGATTAATATGTGCAAATGCGCGACTTTGTGCTTCTTTAATAATTGTATTTGCAGTTTTATATGAGAAAACACCTTTAGTCCAAAATGCTATTGAGGCACCATGCATGAGGATATCGACTGCAGATAAGTCTTCATAGTTCTGTATCATAAAAATGGTGGTATTTAAAATAGCAAAACCGCTCACAGCTATATTAGCTCCATTTGCTATATCAGCAACAACTTGTAAGGCAGTTGATATTTCCCGTCCACGTGCAGCCAATGATGTTAATCGCATCGAAGCTCCCATTGCGCCAAAACTAGTCAAGTTAGCTGCTATGCCTAGCCACAGCATTCGTGATTCGGAATTTGTAAAAGGATTAACGTTTTCTCCGTGTGCGGCCTTCTCAGCCAGTTGATACCCAGCCCTGGTCGTGCCCCATCCCGCGGTCGCTATGGCTGTTCCTAGTAAAGGCGCTGCTAAGCCACCGGAAACAAATAACAAAGCAACGCTCGATCCAAGTCCAGCCACTGCAGCCACTGTATCCAAACCTCGTGCAGCTTTTGCATCAATCCTAGCACACGGAGTCGAGGCAGTATATACGTTTGCTTTATTACTATTCGGCAATCGTGATAATTTTAATTGATATGGATATGCCATTTTCCCAGGGGGTAACTTATTAAATTCAAACCAATTTGAAAAAGAACCATAATATCGTCCTACGTTATCCACATAATAGATTTTCGAGTTTTTATATCTTTGTACTCTAAATATTGGTAGTTCATATAATTTACCTTCGTAATACAGTTCTACTGGCAACACAGTCACAAAATTTTTATCATCCCCGCCACAACAAGATCGGATTTGTTCAGCGACAACGTCTATTGCTTCACGCGCTTTACTTTCAAAAAAAACTAATTCTCCTTTCAGTGCTTTCTCCAATTCAGAATTTGTCCATGTTTCTGGATTTGATGTAGGCAGTCCCATAGCCATGCCAATGGTATTTAACAAATCTGATCCACCGATTAATTGTGGCACGTCACCTTCATATTCTCCACCTCTGTGCAGGTATTTTGTTATATTCTCTACCGCCTTACTCTCCCATTCACTAGGACTTACCTCCATTTTAAATATTAGATATAGATAGCCTATGCCTTTATTATTAAATATCGAAAATAACTTTACTTAGTAATAACAGTTTGCTTGTTTAATACCACCACCAGTGGTTTTTGGGAGCAGCAGACTGTTTATCACAAGAATCGAAATCTGGTCGATGCCCAGTATTTCTCCAAATTTTTAAGCATCTATCGAATTCGTCTACTTCTCCTAATTGTTCTAAGTTTGTTAGAACCCTGTTAAATTGTGCATCGATATTTATAAAGCCTTTTAATAGTACTTCTATTCCAGATCGAACTTTGCATATATCACCAGCAGATCCAATAAGATCTAAGTCAATCCGTAGACTTGGGTAAATGTTTATAAATGTCTGAAGCCACTCCTGGTTCTTTATTACATTAATAACTACATCAGATACTTCTTTTTGTTTTTTAATAACAGTGTAGTCCCACTTTATACAAGTGCCTACATAATATAGTTCTACAAATATTCGCTCTCCGATCTTAAAAAAATCTTTTATTATTTTTCCTTCCACTTCTTTAGGTGATTTTTCAAAAAGCAAAAGTTTTTCGACGATATTTTTCAAATGTTGCCTGCACATGTCCATGTCCATTACCTGATAATTAAAATAAACAGTATAAATATAATTAGTAAAAAAAAGCTTTAAAAAAATGGGCAGAGTGTGTGTTCGAAATGCGCAATGGAGGCTCCGTAAATGTTAGTATTATAAGAAATAGAAATATTCTATATTCATGACTAACGAACGGCACACCCTCGCTTTTAGATAAACAAAAACAAATATATCCCACGGGAACCGTACATTTTTCCGGGATAAAAAGTAGCCTATCTGTTATACTGATGTATGAACTATATGATTGTAAAGTTTCATTAAAATCCAATAAGTACTTTTTGTGTACTAAGCTGTATAAGTTACTATAGTTTTGTAACTATCAAACGGGAACTCTTTAATTTTCCGGGATGAAAAGTATCTAAGATGTTGACCGGGGAGATACCACCATGCAAAATTTCATTTAAATCATCTAACAGTTTCCGAGATTAGCCCATACAAACATACAAACAGACAGAGGTATAAAAAATTTGAAAAACATCTGGATTTGTTCTATTTGCCTTCTTACATCCCACTGACTCGGTTTTTAACATATTTTTTATGTATAGACCTCCGACCTCTACAGTTTTATTATATACTAGCGGCTCACCCTCGCTTCGCTCGGGTTCACCTTTAGAAAAGCACAAACAGATCTATCCCACGGGAACCGTTCATTTTTCTGGGATGAAAAGTAACCTGTTGTTTGACCGGCAATATAAGGTATCAGCATGCCACATTTTACTAAATTAGGTGCTTAAGCTGTTGTGTACTAAGCTGTATAAGTTACTATAGTTTTTTAAATATCCCACGGAAACTCTTTAATTTTCTGGAATGAAAAGTAACTTAGATGTTGACCGGAGATATAAGGTACTACCATGCAAAATTTCATTTAAATCATTTCAATAGTTTCGGAGATTAGCCCGTACAAACAGACAAACAGACAGAGAAACAAAAAAATTGAAAAAAAACAGGATTTGTTCTACTTCTCTTCTTTCGGGATGTAAGAAGAGAACTGACTCGGTTTTTAGCATTTTTTTTCTAACCTCTACAGTTTTATTACGTATAAAATATATAACGTATAATAAAACAGTAATATATAATAATTAAAATAGTTAATACTTTCTTAGATTTACGCGAATGTTTGACATTATTAAATAAAACTATCTTTTCGGATTATTTCGCGGATTTATTTTGATTTTTGGTTCCCGACGTTTCGAATGCTTTACAGCATCCATGGTCACGGGAGAGACTGAGGTGTTACATGTCTTAAAGATACCATCCTTCACAGTTAGCTACCGTGGGAAAATCTCTGTTTCAGAGAGCGCGCGGGATCTGTGACGAGCAACACCTGGCCGGAGAACTGCAACATGTCAAGCAAGTTCTGCGTGACAACAAGCTGCAAGTGCCGCGCCTGCGTCACAGTGACCGAGTGAAACCAGCCACAGTCGAGCGCGTCCCTGCAGTCTTGCCATACATGAAAGGAGTCACTGACAAGATTGGCTACATTCTAAAGCGAGCTTCAATTAAAACTTACTTCAAGCCGCCAAAGAAAATTAGTCAGTTCTTACCACCTGTCAAGTGCCACATCCCTCTACAAGATGCAGGAGTCTACAAGCTTGATTGTGATTGTGGGCTCTCTTACATTGGACAAACAAAGCGATCCATTAGAACCCGGGTCAAAGAACACATAGCTGATGTGAAGCACCGTCGCAATACAACATCTGCTGTCTGCAAACATAGCCAGGACCGCCCAAGCCATTATATTCGTTTCGATAGACCTCAAATCCTGGCGAAAGAAAACCGATATCGCCCTAGAATGATTCGAGAAGCCATAGAAATTAAAAAACATCCAAATTTCAATAGGGAAGATGGCTGGGTACTACCATCGTCATGGGATCCTGTTATTAATATAATAAAATCAAATAATAAATATAAACATAACAGACAGGCAGATGTAGTAAGTTCATACTGTGTAGATCAAAATGACAGCATATCAGATTAATATTTTTCATTTGTAAAAGTATATTTTAATAGTGTTGCTTAGTAAGTTGTTTTTAAATAATAGCAAACTAAATTAAAATGATTATCCATAATTAATTTTAACTTTTTTAAATTACACATAGAACAATTATATGGCTTTAATAATTAATACTATATTTTTATATTTTTTATTTATGGTTATAAATATAATAATGGCAACACTAAATATAGATTACTAATTAATATTTTTAAAATTGTAATAATTATAAAAATAATAGCAAAAATTAAATAAATAATTTTCCATATTCAATTATAATTAAAATTATAAAAAATGTTTAAAGTTAAAAATATTGTAATGTAATTGGTGCAATTTTCATTTTGTTAATTGTGGGTAGGCTGTCTGTAACAACTATATCTTTAAGACATGTAACACCTCAGTCTCTCCCGTGACCATGGATGCTGTAAAGCATTCGAAACGTCGGGAACCAAAAATCAAAATAAATCCGCGAAATAATCCGAAAAGATAGTTTTATTTAATAATTAAAATAGTTATAGCGAGTGTACCTTAGGAGATAGACATATACTATGTAGAACTTTTCTATAGACCTTTTTAAGACTTACAATTTTTTTGCACAATGTTTTGATCTATCTCTTAAGGTTGTCACTATACAAAATTTAGTTAAAATCCGTTCAGTACTTTTTGCGTAAAACGCACACATCGATTTGACTAAGTTAGTTTTATTATAGGTATAGATAAGAATAGATATTGCTTAGGAGATATACATAATCTATTCAGAACTTTCCTGTAGGACTTTTCAAGACCTACAATTTTTAGTATATTGTTTTGATGTATGTATGTCTTAAGGTTAAGCCAGCGGAACGTTTCTAGGGAGGACTCGATAAAACCAATTATTGTATCTTCCCGTGAAACGCGCATACAAAAACAGACAAATAGACATACAGGCAAACACACAAACAGACAATTTTTTTAATAACTATTGTTTTGGGGTCTATGTTGTGAACATAATACGTTACAAATAAACGTGTAGATGACTTACATATTTAATATATTTAATCTATTGTATTTATATATTTAACTACACATTTTATAATATTAATATTTTATTTAATATTTAATTTACGTTTAAACATCATATACACATTCACCTACATACATACAACACGTATATTTAATTATTTATATTTATTAATCACATTTATTCATATATATTATAATTGACAAGCATAGCCGCGCGAAACCTGCAGTATTAATTTATTTGTCTCCTACCGGCCACTTTTTATGTTTTCATCATTCATATTATAATATTACTTATAACAGTTAGTAGATGCCTTGCCAGCTGACACTAACCACTTGCTTTGTAGAATTCTATCGTTTGCGCTAATTAATGTATGTGGACTTCTTGTGTTTGTGCTTGTATATTGTTACAACTTGTATGTTACTGTGTATAGTCCTAAACTTTCTTCTTCTGTACATTATTACGTGAGTGTTAAATTATTTCAATATAATAATTTATTAAGTGACGACAATAAGACTTTTATTCGTGTTCTCTCGTCACGACTCAAGTCAGCTAAAAACGAAAACATCTATCCCACGGGAACTGTATATTTTTTCTGGATAAAAAGTGACCTATTTGTTATTCAGATGTATGACCTATATTATTGTAAAGTTTCATCAAAATCCAATTAGTAGTTTTTGTGTACTAAGCTGAATAAGTTACTATAGTTTTTTGACTGTCCCACGAGAACCCTTTAATTTTCCGGGAATAAAAGTAGCCGATTTGTTATTGTCATGTCATGTCATGAACTATATTATTGTAAAGTTTCATTAAAATCCAATCAGTAGTTTTTGTGTACTAAGCCGTATAAGTTGTTATAGTTTTTTAACTATCCCACGGGAAATATTTAATTTTCCGGGATGAAAAGTATCTCAGATGTTGCCCGGGGATATAAGGTACCACCATGCAAAATTTCATTTAAATCGGTCCAATAGATTCGGAGATTAGCCCGTACAAACAGGAAAACAGACAAACAGCTCGCTCGGGTTCGTCCATACCTACGAATATGTTGTATTATCTCTTTAACCATTTGTCCAAATTATATGCAGTAAAAGGGAAAAGTCTTTTGTTTTAAACATTTTAGACGATAAATTTACTTATTTTGATAAGAATTCATAATTGTTGATAATATGACCAATAAACATGACCTACCGATTTAAATTATTTTTTTAATATAAAAAACTACATTTTGTGACTTAAATATAAAAGTTAGACATATACTGTCACTGACTTATTGTAGGCATTATTAAGCTCTACAAATTTTCTCTAGAACATAATCATATATCTCTAATTGTTAAGGCAGCGTTCGTAAGAAACGTTTTCGTTCGACCGTTTCTTCTCCGACTTACTTTGCAAATCCGACTACCACGAAAAAGCCTTTTCATTCTTCGGGTTAATATATAGCCTATGACACTCAGAAAGAACGTGGCTTTCTATTGGTAAAAGAATTTTGAAAATCGGTTCAGTAGATCCAGAGATTACCCCCTACAACGTCACAAACTCACAAACTCACAAGATCACAAACTTTACCTCTTTATAATATTAGTATAGATATATGTATATACAGTTTATATATATATATATATATATATATATATAAAATTAAATATATATATATATGTAAAACGACTCAGCCTCGCTTCGCTCGGGTTCGTCCCTAAGTACGTTTGAACGGTAAGTATAGAATAGACTATATATGTATATATGTACAATGTACATACATAGGTATAGAAAAGTAGGTAAGTATCATGCCGTAAACATTCCAATTTTTCAATTTGATGAGTCGTGAAAAAATTTGGAATTCACGTAAAATATACCAGTGGTTTTGTATTTTTTTTTTGCCGTAGAATTTGTCTCTTATAATTTTGTCGAATATTATTATATTTAATTAGTTTTTGATCGATTTTGGAGTTGATTTTATTGATTTTTCTGAAAAATTTGATTTTAAGG